CGGGGTAGAGGGCCCCCCCCCCCCCCTTCCACGTAGTTCTCACGTACGAGAATGTGATAGATTTTCTGACGGGAAAGCGATTTCGAGCATGGCGAAAGCTACAAGGCTGGAACTTCATGAAGACATTCCTTACCCATGTCCAATCTTAAGAATTTAAAGCCATCACGTGCCCTGAGGCGTAAAGGCTGGATTTGAATTATTGAGGCTGAATAAGGGCAACTTCAGAAAAACTACCTCACTGTAATATTCCTAGCAAACTAGCGAGTGGAGGCATCTTAGTAACACCATCAACATGGAATTCCTACACCGATCATACTCAGACAATTCTAATAAACATGCTGTTTCTCACAGGTAATCCAGAAATACCACAAAACCGACTGAATGGATTTTCTTCCTAAATAACCTGAAATATCTGCGCACTCGAAAAAAAGAAACGTATTTTATGCCGCAAATAAATGACTTCCTGGAAACAATTGGAAAAGAGTTAAAAATTTCACGCACCAGCGCATTAAAGCTGAATTCGAAACCTTGAAGGGTGGATATCTTTCCGTGATTCCCGAGTAAATAGTTCAACCACCAAAATTCTTACGAGGCCGTAAATGATACTCAACAGCGAGGGAACGCTGAATTTGAATGGGCAAAGTTGAGCGTGGGCAGGGGATCATTACCCTAAAATTCCAGCCTTCTGAACTCCGTGGCTCCTGAGATATTAATTTACCCGTAAAAAAATTTCACGGGGCCGTACGTGTTACCCGCGGGTATGGGAAGGCTGAATTTAAATTTGACGCATCACCCGTTGGCGGGGAACACTATACCAAAATTTCAGCCGCCTAGCTTTTGTGGTTCCAGAGTTGAAAGTGTGGGACAAAACGTGGGACACACACACAAACACACACAGAGACAACTACGTGACAATATGCGTTTTGTAACGCCGTTACACAGCACAAAACGCATAACAAAGCATGAACAAACAGGCAAGTCAGGTGCGTTCCAGCGACTGAAAAGGCAAGCAATGGGCATCCTGTCAAAAGAGCTGGGGGATCAGTTGGGATCCGAACTCGCGACGGCAGCGCCGTAAACGGGCAGATTTTCCGCTGCGCCATCTGTGCAGTGCGGGCCAGTGGCAGAAGTGGAACCTGGGAGCTCCGGTGTACTAAACAGGCACACTGCCACTAGGCCACCGGGGACAGCGCGGACACCGGCCGCGTTCGAACCCGAGACACCAGCATCGTGGTACGCGAACGGTGCATCGCCGGTCGGGTACCAAAAATTTTGCGCTGCGCCCCGAACACGAATCTTTGAGACGGTGCTTTCCACATAAATGGCAGAGCCAGGAATCGAACCTGGGCCGCCATTGTAGTGGAGTCATTTTGCCCGCTGCGCCAATAATGCAGTGTGGGCCAGCCGCAGGAGTCCAACCCCCAACGCCCTGCGTGGTAGTCTGGCATTCTGCCACTGAGCCATCAATGCAGAACCCACAGACACTGGCGAGGTTCCAACTTGCGACGTCAGCGCGACAAACGGGCATTCTGTCGCCAGGGCCAGCGAAAAGCCTGCACCAGGATTCAAACCCGAGACGAGGATGCGGTGGACCAGTATTTTGCCAAGAAGCTGTCGGTGCAGCGTGGACCAGTGCCAGGAGTCCCAGGGCACCCACGTGACAGGTGGCTATCTTGCCACTGAGGCATCGACGCACCGTCGCATGTACGGGGAAGCGGAAATTTAGGCGGGAAAATTACTAACACGGACAGTAGAGCTGATGGGTGATTTTCAATGAACGATCAATGAATGAGAATTATTCATTTTTTATGCGTTTTTTGTAACTGTGTGATGCAAAAACGCATGTTTTCGACGG